AAATAGGACTGTCACCTCTCTTGACTCACTCTAGTAGGGTGTCATACAATACATACATTCTTATATTTTCCTAACGTTTTTGGGTGCTGCTAAATAAGAGTGACCAATGGAATAGGAACAAGAAGCATTCCTCTTAAGAACTGTTCCTCTTTTATCCAACTAGATCGAAGAAAGACAGAAAGGTAACTGTAGATACTACAGTAATAAGACTTTAGAAAACAGTGTCTAAGACTCTATATCATTATGGGTGCTCCATAACAATACAGAAGACATGCACTTACCAAATCTGAATGTATGTATGCTTTTGTATGTGTCTGCCTATGTGTGTATTACATATGTATTTTACATCTAGCTTTTTATTTACTTAAACCTCACATTTTGTTGAAGGTCCCTTCATGAGTTACTGTTATCATTTCACTGAAAACAGTGCTGATGGAATAAAAAGGTACATAGACATATAATGAATTTCTCTTCTTTGACACTATTAGCAAATACACTTTTTTTGCACCAAAAAGAGTATGTTTTCCATAAATATTAAATACATATACATACAAGTCAGGATATGTAAATCCTACCATATAGTCCAGCAAGTAAAGTCCAACAATTAACAAAGACTCATTTATCAATGGCTAACTAATCAGAGAATAAACTACATATATAAAAATTAAACCCATGTACATATTAGAAATACATTTTAATTTACCCATGTATCCAATGTCCTATACAATAAATTTAAAAAAAAAAAATTTATTTGCTGGCTTAAAAAATCAATTCTACATATAAAACTCACATACTACTACTTAACAAGCAACGACCAGAATTCTCACCTTGATGTTTCCTTAATCAGCCACTGATTAAACACAATCCTTTTATAACTTCTGTAAAATCTCATTTATTTTGCAAATTTTCTTGAGCATATCAGGTTTTCCATATTACTTATACCTTTATGATTTATTTCCAGGAGAGGTTTTCACATGACTGGGAAAACCCTCCATGACCTCCTTCCTTTCACTGATCATGTTGGTCTTTCCCGCCCATGAGAAACAGTGAAAAGCACCTGCACACCTAAGAAAGAGCAGCATCCAATGAGGTGGTGGGTTTGGGTTGAGTCTGGGCACCAACTTATATGTGGACAGAGCTCTCAAGGCTGTGGGACAAGTCCATGTTCCATTAGCTCTGTTCTTTTCTGCCCAGGGCTTCACTGCTCCTTGTGGGCCCTATCTCCTTCACATTGCAAATAGGATTCTCTCCTCCCTTGGAACTCTCTGGTAGGGTCTCAAACTCAGGAAACCTGAGTCCCTTAAAAAAACTCTGTCTGTTAAAAAAAAAACTACTGCCCCAAAGGCAAACCCACCATCAGATGGGATAGAGCCCCTGCCTTAGGTGTGTAGTTACTCAACCCTATCTGAGGGGCAGGAAAGACATCCATGATTGGTGAAGAGTTATTGGTGGTATTTGAACGTGAGAAGGTAGAAAATTACAAGGACAAGCAAGGTGGGTATTTACAAACTGAAGTTGAATTTATATAAATTTTGCCAGGAAAAATGTATATTTTGTCATTTTTACTAGGAACTAAGGGTGACAAATATACCAACAGGAAGAAGCAGCTCTCCTATGACCTGACCAAAGCAACTCCATCAAAAAAGGATGCAAAGTTACCTACAAATGCTACAACGAAAAGAATTGGAAACCCTGTTCAAAAACACTCTGTATGGCCATGCAGGCTCCTGAGGGTAAATTCCACAAATGTCCATCTGTCTCCTTGCTTTATGGTTCCATTGTGTGATGGGTTTGTTTGTGTACGTGTGTTGAGAGAAGTATGGATGGATGGATGGAGAAGACAGATGGATGGATACATTTGTTTATGTGCCTGTCTGTGTGCATATATAGTTCTATGCACACTTAGGCATACATGTGTCTTTATCCATTTGTAACTCACCTTTTCCTGGTAACTGGATGCTCCTGGGTTGCTACTGTCCATTTACTTGTGTGTGGACTAGAGGATGATAAGAGAATACAGTCAGCCAGGGGACACAATTTTAAATTTACTTTTTTTTAAAAAAAAAATTAGCTTTTATTACTCTAGACAGAAACTGATTAATTTCTGAATATTTACATGCATACAACTATTGGAAGCTGGAATGGCTTCTTTTTTTTTATCAGAAATGAGGATTTATATGATGGCAGTCAACATCTTAGACTGGAAAAAATAGTAATACTTCCAGATTTAACCAAACCTCTTTATTATGACCTCAGTCCCAATGTGTGACAGTCTTGATGGTGGCAGTTATTTCAAAGTCAACTCCAGTTTGTAGGTAGTCAGCCCTCTTATTCCATTGAATGTCCTGCTTCAAAGGCCCTTACTTTCACCTACCATGGTAGTCTCTCTTGCCCCACAAAAAGGGTCAAGTAAGTAGAGGTCTGACAGGGGGGGCAAAATCGAATATGACAGTGACTTGTGGTTTGGTGCACCAGCCTTCATGACAGCAGAGTTCTGGAGACTGGAGAACACCTCCACGGCTCTTTGCTCTGATCCTTTCTGCTAAGGGCTTCACAGTACCCTGACTGCTTCTACCTCCTCTTTCTCCAAATAGGATTCTCTCCTCCCTTGGACAAATCTGATATGCCTGCTACTAACTAAGGGTTACAACAGAGTAACAGGCAGAAGCTGTCTCTATAGTCTGTTCCTCTTTAGTCCAAAAACAACTGTAAAAATGTGTAAGTCTTCCTAAACCTTCTACAGTGAGAAGATTAAGAAACTGTATCTAAGATACTCTATATTGCCATGGACACTCCTGAGGGTAGATCCCACAAATCTCAATCTCTGTCTCTGTCATTGTTTTGTTTGAGTGCGCGTTTGTGTGTGTATCTTTTATAACTCACATTTCATCAGTGACTGTATCCGTGGTGGCTCCTTCCAGGTCGTGTGGATCCGGCCTAAAAAACAAATATGGTCAGCGCCAGACACCATGAGGAATTCTAAATGTTTTGTGTCAAATAGCTACAATTACTCTATGAGTTACTCCCTGGTTACACTTTAAACATTTACATGGCTGTATATCACTAATTGAACCTGATATGGCATTTTAAATTAGAAATGAGGTTTTGTATGCCAACAGTAAGTATCTCAGGCTATGAACTTAGCAGTGCATCCAGATTAAGTGACTGTATCCTCACCTCAATGTTTAACAGCCTTTTTAGAGGGCATTTAATTATAGTTCAACTTTAGTTTGTAAGTCCTCTTTCTTATAATCCCAACTAAATTCCTCATTTTCAATCACCTCCAGTCACCTCTCACTTTTCACCAATCCTAGTTGTCTTTCCTGCCCAAGACTTACAGCCAAGTAGCTCCAGGCCTCAAGCAAGGCCTCCACGCAATATGATGATGGATATTGGCTCAGAGAGTTAGCCTCACATAGTGGCAGAGTTCTGGAGGGTGAAAAATACTTACAGGGTTATTAGCTCTGTATGGGTTTCTTTTTTTCTTTTTCTTTTTTTTTTTTTTTTTTGCCAGGGGTGTCTCTGCTAATTGTCCACTGTTATCTCCTCCTCATTCCAAGAAGGATTCGTTTCTCCCTTGGTCCATACTACTGATACAGTCTCATTCCCACAGAAATGAAAGGTGACCAACACTCACATAAAAAGCCTCCCTCTATGAGTTCTTTGCCATTTTCCTATCTCCATCCAAAAGACAAAAGAATATTCCATAGAGAATCTCATCCAGAGAGGACTCTAGAAATAGTTTCAAGGGGACTCCCTGTTTCCATGGATGCCTGTGACAATAAATAGCCCAAATCTCAATCACTCTGCAGACACTGTATGGATGAATGCATATATGTGTGTGTGTGTTCATATATACACCCATACATGTATTGTATAATTGTATTCCTTCATATCACATGTTGCATTGGCCAGCTGACCAGAAGACACTCTTTAAATTGACACACAGGGCAGTGCTGAGGAATTTAAAACACATATAGTAAGACAAGAAGTAACTCCCTAGATTAATGTTTTAGTTCAAAATAGTTCCAATTACATTTCAACATGTAAACTGCTTGATCCTTACAGAGTTCATGTGCGTATTTGGTTAACTGGAATCTGCCATGCCATTTTTCTCTACATATGATAATTTATATTATTGTAGCACACATTTCACACCTATCCAAGACTCACTGACTCAACTACAATTTTTTACCACTGCAGCTGACCAATGTGTGGCAGCCTTTTGAGGTTGAATGTCTTTTAAATTCAGCTCCACTGTGCAGGTGGGCAGCCCGCTAATCCCATCTGAAGACCACTTCCTGGATGCCCCCATCACCTTCCTTCCTCCCATCATGCTAGTCTGTCCTGTCCATGAGACAAAGGCAAGTAGCCGTGGGCCTAAGGCAGGGCGGCATCCAGTGAGATGGTGGGTTTGGGGTTGGATCTGGGCACCAACCGCACAGGTGGACAGAGCTCTGAAGGGTGAGGGACAAGTCCATGTTCCCTTAGCTCCATTCTTTTCTGCCCAGGGTTTCCCTTCTCTTTTTTGGCCACTATCTCCTCCATGTTGCAAATAGGATTCTCTCCTGCCCTGGGCCAATCTGGTAGGGTTTCAAACTCAGGAAATCTGAGTCCCATAAAAAACTGCTTACTAGGAACTAAGGGTGACAAACACACTGACAAGAAGAAGCAATTCTCCTATTACCTGCTCCTCTTTATACAACTCCATTAAAGAAGGATGCAAAGTTACCTACAAATGCTACAATAAGAAGAATTGAAAACCTTCTTAATTAAAAAAAAAATCTGTAAGGCCATGCAGGCTCTAGAAGGTAAAATCCACAAATGTCTATCTGTCTCCTTGTTCTGTGATTCCACTGTGTGCATGAATCTGTGTATGCATGTTGAAGAGCAGTGTGTATGAATGGATAGATGGATATATTTGCTTATGCGACTGTGTGTATAGTTTTCTATGCACACTTATGCATACAGGTGTCATTATTTAACTATTTATAACTCACCTTTCACTCACAGGTGCCTCCTGGTTTGCTCCTGTAAATTCATTTGTCTGTGGACTAGCAAATGATAAAATAATATAGCCAGATAGAAGACATAATTCTGAATTTACATTTTGGAAAAATTACCTTTCATTACTCTAGAAAGAAACCGCTTAATTTATGACTATTCATGTGTATAGCACTACTGAAACCTAAAATGCCTTTTAAAATTATTTAGAAACAAGGATTTATATGATGGCAACCAACATCTTAAGCTGGAAAAAATAGTAATGCTTCCTGATTTAACTAAACCTCTTTATTAGACCCCAGTCCCAATGTGTGACAGCCTTTGTGGTGGCAGTTATTTCAAAGTCAACTCCAGTTTGTAGGTAGTCAGCCTTCTTATTCCATTGAATGTTCTGCTTCAAAGACCCTCCATTAGCTCCTTATGTTCACCCACCATAGTGGTCCTTCCTGCCCACAAAAAGAGTAAGATAACTAGAGGTATGACATAAGGCACAATCCAACATGTTGGCGATTTGAGGTTTGGAGCACCAGCCTCCATAGTGGCAGAGTTCCACCCCCAAGGCTCTTAGCTCTGCTCCTTTCTGCTGAGGGCTTCACAGTATCCATCTATTACTACTCCTACCTCCTCCTCACTCCAAACAGGATTCTGTCTTCTCTTGGCCCACTCCGGAATGTCTAATACACAGAAAATCTAAATTTCCAAGCCATTTGCCTGTTACTAACTAAGAGTGACACGAGAGTAACAGATGGAGCCCTCCCTCTATATTTTGGTTCTCTTTTTTCCAAAACAACTACAAAAATGAGGACGTTTACCTATACCTGCTACAGTGATAAGACAAAAAAACTGTGACAAAAACACTCTGTATTGCCATGGACACTCCTCAGAGTAAGTCCCACTAATCTCAATCTCCCTCTCTGTCATTGTTTTGTTTGTGTGTACATCTTTTATAACTCACATGTCTTCGGTGGCTCTATCAATGATGACGGATGTCAGCTCATTTGGATAGGGACTAAATGAAAAACATGTTCAGAATCAGACACAATGTGTATTTCTAAATATTTTGCATCAAACAGTTACAGCTATGCTATGAGTTATCCCTGGTTACACTTTAAATAGTCACATGTACATATATCATCACATTGACCTGGTATGGCATTTTTAAAATTAGAAATGAGGCTTCATACGCCAACAGTAAATAGTTTAGGCAGTGAGCATAGCAATGCATCCAGATCAAGTGACTGTATCTTCACCAAAATGTGTAGCAGCCTTTTGCGAGGGCACTGAATTCCAGTTCAACTTTCATTTGTAAAGTCCCCCTTCTTATAATCCCATCTAAATTCCTCATTCTCAATCACCTCAAAACACCTCCTCACTTTTCAGCAATCCTAGTTAGTCTTTCCTTCCCAAGAGTTAGGGTCAAGTAGCCACAGGCCTCAAGCAAGGGCTCCATCCCATGTGATGATGGGTACGGGCTCAGGCGGTCAGCCTCACATAGTGCCAGAGTTCTGGAGAGTGAGGGAATACTTCCAGGGCTATTATCTCTCTCCTCTTTTTTTTTTTTCTGGGGGTTCTGTGCCCTTTGTCTACTGCTGCTGTCTCCATCTGGCTACAAGCAGGATTCGCCTCTCCCTTGATCCACACTGCTAGTACTAGTACAGTCTGATTCCCACAGAAAAGAAAGGTAGTCAACACCAACATAAAAAGCCTCCCTCTATGAGTCTGTCCAAATTTCTTACCTCTTTCTAAAAACAGAGAGTATTTTTCACAAAGCTGACCCTGAGAGGACGCTAAAAATAGTTTCAAGGGAGTCACTGTTCCCACGGATGCTCGTGACAGTAAATAGCCCAAATCTCAATCTCGCTACACATCGTGTATATGAATGCATGTATGTGTGTATTCATATACACATCTTTACTTGGATAATTGTGTTCCTTTAGTTCACATGCTGCATTGACCAGTCAACCAGAAGGTACCCTTTCAATACTTTGGAATAAAACTAAACTAAAATAAAGTAAAAGTTCATGTGTAAATCACTAAATTGACCCGGCATGGGAATTTTTTACTTTAGATATGAGGTTTGATTTGCCAAGAGTGAATATCTTAGGCTGTGAACATAACAGCACATCCAGATTAAGTGACTGTAACTTCACCAAAATTTGTAACAGACTTTATCAAGGACATTTAATTCCAGTTCAACTTTCATTTGTAAGTCCCTCTTCTTATAATCCCATCTGAATTCCTCATTCTCAGTCACCTCCAACCACCTCCTCCTATTTCACCAATCCTAGCAGTCTTTCCTGCCCAAGAGTTGGGGTTAAGTAGACACAGGCCTCAAGCAAGGGCTCCATCCCATGTGATGATGGGTATGAGCTCAAGCAGTCAGCCTCACATAGTGCCAGGGTTCTGGAGGGTGAGGGAATACTTCCAGGGCTATATTATCTGTAATTTGTGCTGGTTTTTCTTTTCTTTTGCTGGGGGTTCTGTGTGCCCTTTGTCCACTGCTATCCCTTCTGGTTCCAAGCAGGATTCACTTCTCTCTTGATTCACACGACTAGTAGAGTCTCATTCCCACACAAAAGAAGGTGATAATCACTAAAGCCTCCCTCGATGAGTTCTTCCACATTTCCCTACCTTATTCCAAAAAAACAAAAGAATATTCTTCACAAAGCTCATCCTGAGAAGACTCTTAAAATAGTTTCAAGGGAACTCCTTGTTCCCATGGATGCTCGTGACAGTGAACAGCCTGAGTCTCAATCTCTCTGCATGCTGTATGTATGAATGCATGTATGTATGTGTTCATATATGCATGTACACATGTATAGTTGTATTCCTTTAGTTCATATGTTGCACTGTCCAGTCAACCAGAAGGTACCCTTTCAATTCACACACAGGGCAGTGCCAAAGAACTTAAAACATACATAGTAAGACAACACGTAACGTCCCAGCCTTAACATTTTCAGTTAAAAATAGTTCCAATTACTTTTCAATCTGTGAACTGCTTGATCCTTACAGTTCTTTACATAATTTACACCATACTTTACATAACTGTAGCACACATTTTACACTTATCTGAGCCTCAATGACTCAAGATTTAACTGAATTCCCTACCACTGCAGCTGACCAATGCTTGGCAGCCTTTTGAGGGTGAATGTCTTTTAAATTCAGCTCCACTGTGCAGGCGGTCAGCTCGCCAATCCCATCTGAGGACCACTTCCTGGATGCCCCCATCGCCTCCTTCCTTTCTCCCATCATGCTAGTCTGTCCTGTCCATGAGACACAGGCGAGTGGCTGTGGCTTAAGGAAAGGCTGCATCCAATGAGGTGGTGGGCTGGGCGTTGGCTCTGGGCTCCAGCCTCACATGTGGACAGAGCTCTGGAGGGTGAGGGACAAGTCCACGTTCCATTAGCTCTGTTCTTTTCTGCCAAGGGCTTCTCTGCTCCTTGTCAGCCGCTATCCCCATGTTGCAAACAGGATTCTCTCCCTGGTAGGGCCACTCTGTTAGGCTCTTGAACTCAGAAAATCTGAGTCCCTGAAGAAACTGCTTACTGTCAACTAAAGGTAACAAATAAACTAACAGGAAGAAGCAACTCTTATGCAAATGTGTGCCTTTATTCTTCTAATTATAACTCACCTTTCATTGATAGGTGCCTCCTGACTTGCTCCTGCCAATTCATTTGTGTGTGAACTAGGGACAATAAAAGGATAGTCAAACAGGAGACACAACTCTAAATTTACTTTTCTGGCAAAACTACCTTTCATTACTCTACATATAAACCAGATAATTTCTGACTATTCATGTATATAGCACTATTTGGATCTGAAATGTCAATTTGTTTTAATTAGAAATGAGGATATACATGATGGATACCAACAACTCAAGCTACGGAAAATAGTAATGCTTCCCGATTTAACTGAACCTCTTTATTAGACCCCAGTCCCAATGTGTGACACCCTTTGTGGTGGCAGTTATTTCAAAGTCAACTCCAGTTTGTAGTCAGCTCTCTTATTCCAATGAATGTCCTGCTTCAAAGACCTTCCATTAGCTCCTTAATTACAGCCAGCATGGTGGTCCCTCTTGCCCCTCCAAAAGGGTCAGGTTACTAGAGGTCTCACACAGGGGTACAATCCAGTATGACGGGGATTTGAGGTCTGCAGCACCAGCCTGATGGTGGCAGAGCTGTGGAGAGTGGGGAACACCTCCAAGGCTCTTAGCTCTGCTCCTTTCTGCTGAGGGCTTCGCAGTACTATGACGACTCATACCGCCCCCTCATTTCAAATAGGATTCTCTCCTCCCTCTGCCCACTCTGGTATATCTCATACACAGAAAATCTCTTGAGTTTCCAGGCATTTGCCTACTCCTAACTAAGGGTGACAAGATAGTAACACAGGGAGGCCTCTCTCTATAGCCTGTTTCTCTCCCTCCTTTTTTTTTTTTTTTAACAACTGTAAAAATGTGGTAGTTTGCCTGTACCTGCCACAGTGAGAAGATAAAGAAACTGTGTCAAAGACACTCTGTATGGCCATGGACACTCCTCAGAGTTAAGTCCCACGAATCTCAATCTCTCTGTCACTGTTTTGTTTGTGTGCGTGTTTGTGTGTACATCTTTTATAACTCACCTGTCTTCAGCGGCTCTATCGATGATGTCTTCTGCCAGCTCATCCGAATGGGGACTAAAGGACAAACATGCTCAGAGTCAGACACGATGTGTAATTCTAAATGTTTTACATCAAAAAGCTAAGTTACTCTATGAGTTATTCCATGGTTATACTTTAAGTGTTCACATATCTCCTAATTTTTTAATGATCACCATTCTAACTGGTGTGAGATGGTATCTCAACGTGCTTTTGATTTGCATTTCTCTAATGACCAGTGATGCTGAGCTTTCTTTCATAGGTTTGTTGGCTGCATAAATGTCTTCTTTTGGCCAGGTGCGGTGGCTCAAGCCTGTAATCCCAGCACTTTGGGAGGCCAAGGCGGGTGGATCACGAGGTCAAGAGATTGAGACCATCCTGGTCAACATGGTGAAAGCCTGTCTCTACTAAAAATACAAAAAATTAGCTGGGCATGGTGGCGCGTGCCTGTAATCCCAGCTACTCAGGAAGCTGAGGCAGGAGAATTGCCTGAACCCAGGAGGCAGAGGTTGCGGTGAGCCGAGATCGCGCCATTGCACTCCAGCCTGGGTAACAAGACCAGCCTGGGTAACAAGAGCGAAACTCCGTCTCAAAAAAAAAAAAAAAAAAAAAAAAAAAAGTCTTCCTTTGAATAGTGTCTGTTCATGTCCTTTGTCTAGTTTTTGATGGGGTTATTTGTTTTCTTCTTGTAAATTTGTTTCAGTTCTTTGTATATTCTGGTTATTAAGCCCTTTGTCAGATGGGTAGATTACAAAAATTTTTTCCCATTCTGTTGGTTGCCAGTTCACTGTAATGATAGTTTCTACACTGTTGGTGGGAGGGTGAGAGTGTAAATTAGTTCAACCAGTGTGGAAGACAGTGTGGCAATTCCTCAAGGATCTAGAAATAGAAATACCATTTGACCCAGCAATCCCATTACTGTGTATATACCCAAAAGATTGTAAAACATTCAACTATAAAGACACATGCACATGTATGTTTACTGCAGCACTGTTCACAATAGCAAAGACTTGGAACCAACCCAAATGCGCATCAAAAATAGACTGGATAAAGAAAATGTGGCACATATACACCGTGGAATACTATGCCGCACTCCTGTATGTCTCCTACACAGAAAATCTGAGTTTCCAAGGCACTTACCTGCTACTCACGGTGACACGACAGTAACAGATGGAAGCCTCCCTGTTTACTCTGTTTCTCTTTTTTCCAAAACAACTATAAAAATGTGGACATTTACCTATACATGCTACAGTGAGAAGATAAAGAAACTGTGTCAAAGACAGTCTGTACTGCCATGGACCCTCTTCAGAGTCAATTCCATTAATCTCAATCTCTTTCTCTGTCATTGTTTTGTGTGTGTTTTTGTGTGTACATCTTTTATAACTTACATGTCTTCAGTGGCACTATCAACGATGACTCCTGCCAGCTCCTTCGGATGGGGACTAAAGAACAAATATGGTCAGAGTCAGATACTATGTGTAATTCGAAACGTTTTGCATCAAATAGCTAGTTACTCTATGAGTTATTCCCTCGTTACACTTTAAATATTCACATGTATGTATATCGCTAAATTCACCGGATATGGCATTTTTTTCAATTAGAAATGAGGACATGTCAACAGTGAATATCTTAGGTTTTGTACATAGTAATGTGTTCAGATTAAGTGATGTATCATCACCTCAATGTGTCACGCCCTTTTTCAAGTACAGTTAATTCCAGTTCAACTTTAGTTTCTAAGTGCCCTTCGTATAATCCCATCTGAATTCCTCATTCTCAATCACCCATTTAGTTGTCTTTCCTGCCCAAAAGTCAGGGCCCAGTGGCTGCCGGCCTCAAGCAAGGGCTCTATCCAATGTCATGATGGGCACAGGCCCAGGAGTCAGCCTCGCAGCGGCAGGGCTCTGGAGGCTGAGAAATACTTTCAAAGCTATTAGCTCTGTTCTTTTTTCTGCTGCTAGCTTCTCTGTTCATTGCCCACTGCTAAGTCCTCTGGCTCCAAGCAGGATTTGCTTCTTTTTTGGTCCACACTCCTAGAACAGTCTCATTCCCACAGAAACAACAGGTGGCAAACACTAACATAGCAAGCCTCCCTCTACAAGTTCTTCCCCTTTTTTCTACCTCCATCCAAAAGACAAAAGACTATTTTGTACAGAAGCTGATCCTGAGAGGACTCTTGACATAGTTTCAAGGGAGCTATTAGTTCCTATGTATGTTCATGGCAGTCGATAGCCGGATCTCAATCTTGCTGTGTATGACGCATGTATGTGTGTGTTCATATATGCATATATATGCATCATTTTATTCCTTTATATCACATGTTACATTGGCCAGTCTACCAGAAAATCCTCTTTCAATTCACACAGAGGGCAGGGTCGAAGAATTTAAAACATACATAGTAAGACAATATGCAACTTCGTAGACTGAACGTTTTCAGTTCTAAATAGTTCCAATTACTTTTTAACCTGTAAACAGCTTGACCCTTATACAAGCCATGTGTGTATTTGGTTATTTGGAATCTGCCATGCCATTTTCTCTGCACATCATACTTTATAGGATTGTAGCATACATTTTAGACCTAGTCATGACTCGCTGAATCAAGATTTAACTAAAATTCTCTACCGCTGAAGCTGACCAATACATGACAGCCTTTAGCGGGTGAATTTCTTTTAAAATTGATATAAAAGAACTAAGAGTGACAAATACACAAACAGGAAGAAGCAGTTCTCCTATGACTTGCTTCTCCGAATATAACTTCACCAAAAAGAGATGCAACGTTATCTACAAATGCTACAATGAGAAGAATTGGAAATCCTGTTACAAAACACTCTGTATGGCCATGCAGGCTCCTGAGAGTCAATTCCACAAATGTCCATCTGTCTCCTTGTTTCATGTTTCCATTGCGTGTATGGGCTTGTTTGTGTAGGTGTATTGAAAGAAGTCTGTATGGATGGATGCATGGATGGATGTATTTATTTCTGTGCCTGTGTGTGTGTAAAGTTCTATGCACACTTATGCATATGTGTGTCTTTATCTATTTATAACTCACCTTTCGTTGATAGGTGCCTCCTGGGTTGCTCCTCTCAATTCATTTGTGTGTGGACTAGAGGACGATAAAAGAACAGTTAGAAGACATAATTCTAAATTTACTTTTTTGGAAAAACTAGCTTTCATTGCTTCCATTACTCTACACATAAACCAGTTTATTTCTGACTATTCATGTGTATACAACTATTTTAATCTAGAATGTAACTTTTTTTTGTTAAACCTGAGAATTTATATGGTAGCAACCAACATCTTAGGCTGGGGATAATATGAATGCTTCCTGATTTAAGTAAAACCTCTGTATTATGCCCTTAGCCCCAGTGATAGCCTTTGTTGTGGTAGTTATTTCAACCTCAGCTCCAGTTTGTACGTAGTCAGTCCTCATATTCTACTCAGTGTCGTGCTTCGAAGGCCCTCTAACACCTCCTTACCTGACCGTCTCTTCTGTTCCTCAAGCAGGATAAAGTAACTGCAGGTCTGAGTCAAGGGCACAGTCTGATATCAAGGGCACTCCAAATATCACAGGGTATTTGGAGTTTGGAACATCACCCTCCATTGTGGCAGAGTTCTGAAGGGTGGGAAACATTTCCAGGGCTGTTACTCTTTTTCTTTTCCCCTTAAGTTTTCATTACTCTCTGTCCCCTGTTATTCCTTCCATTTCCAAATAGGATTCTCTGCTCTCTTAGCCAATGTAGTAAGTCTCACATATAGGCAGTCTGAATTTTTTTTTTTTTTTTTTGAGATGAAATCTTGCTCTGTCACCCAGGCTGGAGTGCAGTGGCGCGATCTCTGCTCACAGCAACCTCTGCCTCCTGGGTTCAAGTGATTCGCCTGCCTCAGCCTCCTGAGTAGCTGGAATTATAGGTGCCCACCACCACACCTGGCTAATTTTTATATTTTTAGTAGAGATGGGGTTTCACCATCTTGGCCAGGCTGGTCTTGAACTCCTGACCTTTTGATCCACCCACCTCAGCTTCCCAGTCCTGGGATTACAAGCGTGAGTAACCCTGC